CGAAGTTTGGGGGGGAGGGGATGATCCAGCTGATGGTACTGCCATACAATTGGGTGTNGAACGAAGAGACATCGAAGGCAGACGTTGGCAACGTAGAACTAGAAAAGGAGTTCACTGAGGACGAGGTTGAGGCGTGTGAGAACAAGCTGAAGTGCCACAAAGCAGTAGGAGCGGATGGGATAGTCAACGAGTTCACGAAGTTTGGGGGGGAGGGGATGATCCAGCTGATGGTACTGCCATACAATTGGGTGTGGAAAAACGAGTGTACGCCAAGTAGATGGAGGGAAGGAGTGGTTGTGAACCTGTTTAAGAAAGGAGACAATACTGACCCAGGAAACTGCAGGGGGAACACACTGTTGAACACAGTAGGAAAAATGTTTTGTAAGCTGCTGAACGATAGGATAGTGCGAGTATTGGAGAAGGTACATAGCATTAGTGAGGGCCAGGCAGGTTTCCGCAAGAAGAGGGGGTGCGTAGACCACGTGTTCACGGTAGGGAGAATCATCCAAGGTAGAAAGAGGGCGGGAAAGCCGACGTACTGCTTCTTCCTGGACGTGAAACAGGCGTACGACACCGTATGGAGAAATGAGTTGTGGACACAACTGTCCAAGTACGGGATCTAGGGGAAAATGTGGAGAGTGCTGAAGAAGATGACAGAGTGTACGAAAAGCGCGGTCATGCTAGACGGAGAACTGTCAAAATTCTTCGACATTGAGCAGGGGGTCCCACAAGGTTGCACGCTGTCCCCAACATTGTTCCAGGTGTTCATCAACGATCTGTTGGAAGTCGTAGAGGCAGTCCGGAAGGGAGTAAAAGTAGGGGACACGGAAACGTCGGTTTCAGGAATGCTGTTTGCGGATGATTTTATCGGTATGTCGGACGCCCCTGAGGGACTGCAACTGCAAATCGACGCGGCGAAGAGGTTTACTGACAAGCGGAGATTGTCTGCCAACGTTAAGAAGAGTGCCGTCATGGTATGCAACGAGAACAAGGAGGAACCAGTAGAACATAGATGGAAGTGGGGGATCGAGGAGATTGCAGTAGTGGACCAGTACACATACCTCGGAGTAGAGATCGCAAAAGACTGCTCGTGGAATGCACACATGTCCAAGGTAGCGGAAAAGGGCAAAGCACGAGCAGGGAAGCTGCACCCAATACTCGCAAACCGGCACCTCGATACACGCATCAAATTGACGGTTTTGAAGAGCGTAATCGTACCGCCGCTAGAGTACGCCGGGAGTATGGGAAGGAAATAAGAAGGTACAGTGAAAGAACTCGAGGCGGCGCAGATGAAAGCAGCGAGAATCATCCTAATGCTCCACGCGCACAAGTAATGCAGCCGTGAGGGCAGAATTGGGGATCCAATCCCTACGGTCGGGAAGAGACGCGAGGAAGCTGACATGGCAGTATCGCATGTGCGGGATGGGA